AATCAAATGGATTTTTATTTCCAAACCAGGACAATATCAGCGCATTGCCTCGAAGCAACATAATTGCAAAAGTACCGGATCCCAAAGAAGCCAAGAATTGAATTTTCCTGATTCATTTATAAATTACATATATTGCGTATTTCAATTCCAAATTACTCCACGTTGTCCTTAGCTGCCCCATCTGAGACACATTGGGACAAATGTATATTTTTTTTCTGTCAAATATTTTCCCTTAACTGTAATTTCTGGCAGTTAAAAGAACTATGTTATAAGTTCTTTTAAAATTATTGTACACTAATATCATCCATTTATTTGTTCAGTAAATAGATTTTTTAAAAAATGTACCAAACTGTTCCACCCTTTTTTACGCCCGAAAAATGTAAAATTAATTAAAATCTGGTAAATTACGTAATATATTTATCGTGAATCTTTCCTGCACATGTGTACGTATGGCAAAATCGTAATGCGTTGTTTGCTTCGCATTCTCCCCTATCATTTGTTTTAACGTACTGCCGTTGTTACCTTTATCGTATTTTTAGTGCAATTTTGTAGTATCTGTTGTTTGTTTGAACGAATGGAAGTACTTAAAACAATATGTACCTATGTTCCCATCATTATTTACATCGAAATTGGAAGTGGTCAATTTTCTTGTTTGTTTACAAAATGTAAGATGCTGCCGAAATCATAAGTAGTGGGTTTCAGCAATATAGTATATTTAGGCATCACAACAGATTAGAAACAGCAAAACTAAGCAAACCAAAAAAACCTAAAAAATTGAGTTACAAAATTTGGATACGCACAGGCACTTCTGGCTATGTATACTGTTTTGAGGCCAATCAAAGAGCTTCCGGAAACAGAAACCAAATCAGCGAATTTAGGTTCAGGAGGAGAGCAAAGCGTTTATGTCAAGACATTTATGTCACCTGTTAAGGTCAAAACTCCAAAATATTTGCAGATAATACTTTTTTCAAGTGTTCAGCTCATAGAAATTGCCTACAAAGAAAAAAAAATGTAAGACTTGAAATCAGAGAAAGAATTGAAAGCTAGTGGCCGTGGCAGTTCATTAATAGTTACATTTTCAAATAGCGAAGAAGCAACTAGATTATGTGGAGAACGCAAGGAAAATATCAAGATAAGGAGGCTACAGGCAATATCAATTTACAACAAACATATGGGTGGGGTTGACCTCATGGACTCTTTAGCGGTCTTATACCGTAACGATACAAAAAATCGAAGATGGTACATGTGAATTTTCTATCACTTTTTAAATGCGAGTGTCGTAAACTCTTGGCTTATTTGGAGGTTTAATGGAGAAGAAAAGTGTGGATTTGTTGACTTTTAAACGTAACGTGACAACATATTTGGTTTTCAAGGGTAAAACACAACTACAACAAAAAAAAAAGGATAAAGGTACTTAACTTCCAGCCCCCCTAACTCTGTCAATTTTAATAGTATGAGAAGTCAAATAGACTATTCTTAAGTAAAATTTTATGGTCTACAACTTTTTTAAGAAACTTTTTTTCTAGGTCTTATTCCTTTTAAGTTATCTTGAAAAAACCCTTTATTTTATCTTCTTTCACCCCTGGCTGGGGGTCGAAAAAAAGTACTGTCACTTATTGTTATTATATACGAGTACATCAAACTAACTTATACAAAAAATTCAGGCAAGTTGACCAAAACTGAGATTTAAAGGCCCATTTCATTGGACTAAACTTTCAAGTATAAAGTTAATAAAATATGCAATTTTATTTTTCAAAAAAATATATTTTTATTTTCTGTTTTGATGCGTATCGTAATAATGATTGGATATTTTTGGGGAGGCTAATTCGGGTTTTGGGGGAGCTAAGCCCCTTTAACTTCGCCCATGGTAAAAGTAAGGAATGAATAAGTTAAATTTTGAATATCATTTAATTATACACGGTGAAAATAGTGACTTGAATATCCAAATCTTATTAATTTTCATTACTAAGAAACCATTAGTAAATAGTACGGGTTATTTATTTCATGCTCTTCAACAATGATGCATTTTTTACATAAATGAAGCTTCCCCTTGCCTACAAACCACTGTAGGTACTATCGAAATAAATAAAATAAACCCCTGAGTTTGGAAACCGATATTCCAGTTAGCTGCTCGCTAAGCGTCATCCACATACCGCCGCCATGCCGCGCACCTCCCCGTGAGAACGACCGGATAACCAATAAATGCAAGATATATAAAAAAAATATAGCCTTTATTAGTATATTTATTACTATAAAATTTTTTTTCAGATTGTTGTTTACAGTTATTTACTGCCCGTGTCAGTTTTTCTCATGTTTTAAATAGTGCAATATTTATAGAGATAGCACCCTTCTGCTTTGGTTAAAATTAAAAAAAAGAAGAGTTTTTAGAACAAATGACCTTCACAGTACTAAAGACGATAGTTCCAATTATCGTCAGTAAAAATTTGGAATTTTTTTATCTATCAACAAAATAATTACGAATAGTTAAAGCGAGCGGTATCAATTTTGTAGGCAGAAAACCGTGATTTTTTCAACATTTTCATCAAGTTAAAAAATATTATAATTTTCAATAATGTTATCGGAACACGTTGATGCCATGGTATAAGAAAATTGGATTGAACTTTGACACTTCAGTTGCGCCAGTTAATCATCAGAGGCCTATTGAGGCTTCATCTTTTGATTGGTTGATTGGTTACTGTCTTGTCGTTCCGCTTAAAGTAGCCAATCGCAGTTTAGCTGGAAATGTTGCTACTGAGAACGTACTAGAGCCTAATACCGTTACTTATTGTTTAAGAAAAACCGGGAAATTGGATCAGTTTAATCTCGATGGCCCTTGAGTGAACAACGTAGCATCTGAGCTATTATATTGCCCAAGCGAACTACACAGAGACTACAGAGAGCAAGACTTTAAACTAATATTTGCAAGATTTCTTTGATTTTATTACATGTTATTTAATTTGTGCTTGCTTAGCTAGCTAGCTTGTGCTAGTTATTCTTACTTTTAGTTTAGAATACATATTTATTTCATAATGGACCTTGCGGTTTTTATGAGGGGTAATTTTAACTCGTATAGTTTAGGTTGTTATCTAGGTATCGACGGAACAGGAATAGCGGAACAAAAACTAAGATCCAATGAACAAGGACTGAGCTTCTACAACTGTATGGTGTCATCCCCATAAGAAATCCGCCAGTAGATTGCCCTGAATGTAACGCACCCTTAAGTATGATTTCCGAACGAGAAAGATATGGCTGGATACAGCCGGCTAGAAAGAAATTTTCGCCCTTAGACAATACGTTTCTAACGAGAGCTCGTTTGAATGGTGAGATGGCAGCGGACAAAATTATCTTGATCCTAGATATGTGGCGTGATCCACTTGTTTCTGCACAAGAAACTTTGTGCATGTCTGCCAACACGATTGTTGCCTGGTACGGATTCTGTCGGGATGTAGCTTGTGCCATCGTTTGACACGACTTAATATCTATAGGAGGTGCGGGAGTCGTCGTGGAAGTAGACGAATCTCACTTATTCAAGCGGAAGCATAACGTTGGCAGAGAGACGATGTGGGAACATGTTTGGGTGGTCAGTGGAATAAGTAGAACGATGAAGTAACTATTCGCAGTTATAGTGGAACGAAGAGATACAGACACTTTCATGCCGCTTCTACACCAATGCATAGATGGAAATTCATAGAGGTATATTTGGAGTAGCAAACCATAACCAGAATTTCTTAAACCCGCCAGGAGAGGAAGAACCGAATTGAGTACCTGCTGGAACTTTTAATGAAGAATATTTGGATACGAAATGGAATTGACCTGTACCTCAACTTGGATATGTACCATTTAGGAACCATACACAAATAATCGAGAGAACATGGAGAGACCTAATAGAAGGGTTGAAGGCGACAAATAGCATGGAATACGCCGGTGAATACATTGGGGAATGGATGTATAGAAGACATATTGGAAGGAAATATAAGTAGGAACGAGAATTTTTAAGAGACATCAGAAGACCCTGGAATTGGAAAGCGTTTTGAAGATTTACTGGACTATGACTGCCACGAATGCGAAGCGTGAGGTATGTGAACCACTACACTTTTAAAGTGTAATCGCGCAGATACTTTTAATAACGTTAAAAATTCTTTATTGCAATAATTACAAAATTGATCCATTATTTTATTTCTTTACTGAAATACCTACTAAATTGAAAGTAACTGGGCGGTATCTCCTATTGTCCATTACGTCATCGTAGGAGAGTGACAACGCCTTTTGGGAATATAATATACAGGGTGTATCAGTTGCAAATACAAAAAATTTTATACATCGAAAAAGTGGAATGTTTTGACCTAAACATTTTGTCTTAAAACGCTTAGTTTTTGAGATTGTGTTACGTTTTAAAATTTCATTGTAATATTCGGTTTGTTATCGTTAAAACAAAATTAGATCAAATATTATACATATAATTAATTAATAATTTCTTTATTACATTTACTTTCATTTCATTTCGTTTCATCTCGTATAATTGCTCACATTAGCTGATTTATTCCTATTTAAATTTCGTACCTATTTAATACTTAAAGATATCAGTTTTTGTCTTGGAGTTTTTTTGTTAAAATTTTGGCTTGGGTCGATTCGCGGTTCACCGGTATCGAAATACAACTAATTTTTGCATTAATATAGGTTTAGGGGGTTAATATAAATGTTTTAAATAGTAAAATGTGGGTATAGGGTTGTTATATCATTCTCTATGTATAAGTAAACTTAATATTTATAATAATTTTTTTGAACATACGGTTGTGATTGGCTGAGGTACTGACCAATCAGATCATGACATGTTCCTAGGTATTTTCGATCTTCTATCTCATTGGAGGGGAACTTCTTGGACGGCTTAAAAAGAGTTAGCAACGGCGTGTGTGATTGTGGCTCGTGGAAATATATGATCATTACAATCATCTTTAATTAAGATTAATTTTTGCGGCCAAATTTGAAGAATTTGCGGGTCGTTAGTTCTTTTGGAGCAAATTTTTTGCTGGAAATCCCGAAATTCTAACGTCTTTGGAAGGATTTGTGACACGACGCTGTCGTATAAACAACGTTACTGGTATATTTTCTTCCGCCTCTAAATCTGAAAGAACCCTGTTTCATAGAATTTTCAATACAAATTTTAACACGATCGACACTACCGACTCTAGAAAAGGCGACGTACATCTGACCGTGAGAAAAACATGGCCGTTTAAGGTATACACCAACTCTCGAAAAAGTCTGACCCTGAGATTTATTCACGGTCATAGCATAGGCCACTCTCATGGGATACTGCGTTCGTTTAAATTCCTTCGGTAACATATTATCGCGACCGATCATCGTCACCTTGGGAATCCAAACGACACTTCCCCTTCTTTCGCCGGTAAGAATACGACATTCCAAAACGTGATCTCCCAAAGTAGAAACTATTAAGCGAGTACCATTACAAAGACCCTGTTCGATATCTAAATTATTTAGAAGCATAACAACCGTTCCCACTTTTAAAGTTAATTCGTGCGGAGGTAAGGACGTCGTCGTGATAGAATTGAGTAAGTCTTGAGGCACCCGCAAGTCATCCTCCTCGGCCGCCTCATAAACGTCCGTACTAAAATAGGATACGGCCTCACCCGGCAACCTACCAACTATCAACTTATTGACATCGTTAACGACGGCATTAGTCGGACAAAGAATTACCCGATCAGCAACATCCTCTCCATCGAATACACCCTGTGGATAAACAAAATCGAGCAACGCGTCCACGTCGGCCACAACGAAACAGTCGGGAATACGAATGATATCCTCAGGTACACCCGGAACCGACGGCAACGTCTCATGAGGGATCCGATCTTCTCCGAGACGAAGAAGCCATTCCGCAAAACGGTCATCACCTACATATCCGCCAACAACGTCACCTGCAACTCCTACCCGAACATTCGTAGAAAGAGAACAAAATCGCATGGCCCTCCACAAAGGCGACGCCTTTAAGCAGGACGACACGACCTGCGCCCTTCCACCGTGAGGAACAACGGGTAGGGTCTGACGAAAATCTCCGCCCAAAAGAAAAACTTTACCGCCCATAGGTACATTAGGCCTACCCATCAGGTCCCTGATTTGTAAGATTCGTTGTCATATAATTTTAGAAACGAAACTTGAATATGATCAAAATACATGAAAACATTGTACTTTGTAATTGTAAATTGGTTTTCTACAATATATGCAGTATTTCAAATACATAAAGTTTCACAAAGTTCATTGCGATATATTTGTACAAGGAAAGCATAAATATGATAAAAATGCATAGAAAAATTGTAATTTCAATAGTGAAAAAAGAGTAAATGCACATATTTTTACAATTTAATCAATTTTTTAAATCCATGAAGCTTAAGAAATTTATAGACATTTGTAAAGAAATTGATGAACATAAAATCTTAATATGTAACTTTTGTAACAAAATATTATTCATGGGAACGTAAAAATATAGAATATCATAATGTATGTATATAGAAATACATTTTATAATTATTCGCTTTTTAATGTACGTAAAGCTTGACAATCTGCGTTGTGATAAATTTGTATAAATGAAATATAAATATAATAAAAATGCATATTAACATTGTACTTTTTAATTGTTAATCGTTTTTCAACCGTTTATGCGGTTTGCAATGACATAAAATTTCACAAACTTCATTGTGATATATTTTTATAAATTTTACATGAATATGATAAAAATGCATAGAAATATTATAAATGTAATAGTAAATAAAATGTGACTACACATATTTTTACAAACGAAACATGAATCTAATAGTTTTGCATGGAAATATTGTAATTTGTAATTGTTAATCATTTTTCCACTATTTATGACGTTTTTTAAATACATAAAACTTAATAAATTTGTAAAATGAAAATAGTGTCAGATGTAACCTAAAATTTATATACTGAAAATAGCAAGAAATGTACATTAAATTTGCATAATTTTATAATGCATTAACAGCAAATACTCGATAACGAAATCTGAATAATCCCTTAATCCCTTAATAAAGCAAGGGAAAGCAGGTAGAAAAGTATAAAAGAAAATAACAACTGAATAAAATTATCATACCGAATAAGTGTAGTGTACGAGAAACATTTAAAAATGGATGCATCGAATGTATTGCCTGACGACGAAATAGACGAAATTCTGGGTGCCATCGCCACACCGACAGAACAGGAAGACGACACCCTGCAATGGGGCAATATAAGTGAGGAGGCTCTGAATGAAACGTGCGCTGTTGCCGAAGAAGAAATTGGAGAAACAGAAGAAGTCAGAGAGCCACATGAGGTAGACGACACCCTGCAATGGGGCAATATTACTGACGAGGCTCTAACTGAAGCGTGTACTGTTGCCGAGGAAGAACTTGAAAAAAAAAAAGAAATCACACAGCCACATGAGGTACCATTAATATGGGAAGACATCGACGAAACAGAATTAGTAAATGTTACGGTGGAAGCCGAACAACGTGGAAGTGCCGTCATGCATGGAGATATGGAAGAATTACAGTGGGAGACTATCGATGCCTCCCAGCTAATAAACATAACTGTGGAAGCAGAACAAAATGTCGGTGAAGAAGAACAGGAAGAACGTGACGTCTTAGAAGAAGAAGAGGTAGAAGAAGAACAGGACGAACCTGACGTCTTTCAAGAGGAAGAAGTAGAAGAAGAACAGGACGAACATGACGTGTTGGAAAAAGAAGAGGAAGACGAAGTCCAGGACGAACATGACGTCTTGGAAGAGGAAGAAATAGAAGAAGAACAGGATGAACCTGACGTGTTGGAAGAAGAAGAAGTGGAAATAAGCGAAAACGACAACATTGAAATAGGTCCGTTGTCGACATCGACAACAGCAAGCACAAACGCATCGTCAGAGGAAATTCGCAGTAGGATGGTTCGACAATTAAGTCCAAATAGCGACTCTTCCGAAGAAATCCGAAAACAAATGGTAGAAAAGTTTATCAAGCGGCCTTTAAAAAAAAGGAAGTTCGAGTAATGGGATGGTCCAATTAGCAAAGCACAAAAATCGGCAAGTATAAGAAAATCTTCATAGGGGACAAATACAGTACGCAGCTGTGATAAGAAAAACCACGTTTAAAATACATAACAGTTTGTATAAAAGAAAACGAAAAAAATAAAGTAATGAAAATATAATAAAGCAAATAATAACCGCTTAAATCGGTGTATGTGTACCACCCTCGCGCGACCCGCAACAGTTGAATATGAAATGCAGCTAAAATAAACACCTGACGTCCCTGAACGCGAAAACACAAATTGAAAATAAATGGATAGTCGAACTGGCGCGCCGCTTCGCGGCTCGCAACCGAAACAGTCGTTGAAATGCGCGGAAATAGTATATATGCAAGAATTTTGTATAAATCGATCTCACACCAAATCGACCTCGCACCCGTATAACCCGAATACGATTCACAACCCGAACACGACATGTGCAACGGGGAAATATAAAAAAAAGTGAAACCAAGCCGGGCCCAGCGGGCCCGCCACGTCCCGCAATAGTTGTCGCACCCATATAACCTGACCAGAAATCACAACCCGAAGACGACATGTGCAACGTGAAAATATGAAATTAAAACCAAGCTGGGCCCAGCGGGCCCGCCACGCCCCGCAGTATAAGAAATCAAAAAAAAAAAAAAATCACCACCGTAACAGTAGAAAATAAATTGATAGACGAACTGGCGCCACTTCGCGACGCGCAACCGAAACATAAAAAAATGCACAGAAGTACCGCTACATGCAGTAACCCGCCGAGACCACTAAAAAATGCAACGTGATCCACACAACAACGAAAATGTGTAAAACGTAAGAACCTCGAGCCCCTAAACGCTAAAGGGAAAACATAAATGGATAGGCGAACTGGCGCATCGATACCGTACCACAACGCGAAGTGACCCGTCGGGCCCATTAGGACCATCAAGTCGCCACTTCGCAAATCCGAGCGGAGAACTGGAAAGGTAGGCGAAATCCGCCAGAACGGACATGAAAAAAAATTAAAAGGGCCATATCTCCGCCCCCTTAAGCGCTACAAAAAAAACGAAAGAATACTTTTTTGCTAGTCACATAATAAGCTTTCATTTGATGTAGGATAAGTCCATATTCGAACCGACGAGGTTATCAAAATGTTTAGCTCACGTTCTTCACCGGGGGTCGAAAACTAAAATCGGCCTTAAAAAAAAAACTATAAAAGATATCGAAAAAACAGAAACACCTCCGAGTTCGTAACAGCAAAACGCACGTTTTGAAACCGTCGTCAGCAGCGTACGAATATTTAAAAAATTCCAACCCCCCACAGCACCCTCCGAAGAAAGAGAAGAAACTGGAAAAGTACGTCACACAGAAGCCCTCCCAAGGTATAATGAATCCCCCGAAGGAAAATCCGGCCCGAAGGACCAAACGGCCAGAATAAAAAATCGGCCAGTACGCCTGCGCGGAACGTCGGATCGCAAAAAAATTTTAGGGGTACGAAGACCCAAGGGACCTCTACCTATCCACCAAATCTCGAACTAATCCGATAACATTACGCCTCCCCCGTACACCCCACCCCAACCCTCGAGGTCGGACCGCCAAACGAAGATCCATCGCGACATCGCGACCGAAATAGAAAATCGACGGGTCCCGGCGATTTAATTGAAAAAAAAAAATTTTTCGGCGCGACGTAGGTTTTCTTACGTTCGAAATCGAGACGATATATAACAAAATCGACCCCATGGGCGTGTTTGGCAGAACAGGTACGAATTTAGTTTAGGGGTCTCGCCCCGACCCCACGAAAAAAGGGCGGGGTCATATGCACCCCACAAAAAAAAATCGATAGATTTTCACGAAATCCGACGTGGACCACACACGCGACAGTCATAAGATCCCCTCAGAAGCGCAAGTCCGTAGCACCAACGGTTCGGCCGTAAATCGCTATAAGGGGTTCGCGCATGCGCCGAATTTTTTTTTTTTCACAGAATCCGCCCGTCCCACTGTATCCGACAGGAGCCCGTGCGCATCCGTAGCATTCACCGCCGAAGCGCACGGCGACTTTTACGTTCTGCGCAGCATCGTAACCATTCCACCTGTAGAGGCAAATCGAACCGCCGGGCTGGCCGGAATACGACGGTTCGTCGAACGTCGCTCCAGCTGTGGCCGTTCGCATATCGACGTTCCGACCGTTTTCGGTAACTTCACCCCCACTTTTTATAGCGGTTCCGAGCACAACCACGGTACCGCGCATACGGCCATATGTCGGTTATCCCTCTCAGTCCCAAGGCGTACGACTTGCACCCTAGAAAACTTATGCGCAGGCGCACAGAAACCCGTCCGTGCGAGCACGGACGCTTTACGTCCCTCTACCTCCGCGACCCCTCTGCGCAGAATTTTGTCTCCCCGCAACTCTCCGCGCATACCCGACCGAGTTAACCTTGAGGATTTCGGGGTCGGATCATAGAGGCTCACCAATAGCCCCATCTTTTGCGCGTACAACGGCGCAAACCGCACCTCGCTACGGCGTCTCGTTCCCGAGCCGCGTGCCCGTTTATACTTCCCGGCTCCACCCCCCGAACGCCGCCCCCGATCGCAAAATCGACGAGAGGTGTTCGGCGTTCCCCGTCGCGAGTACACCCCGTATACGAAGTTTGAGATCGATCCGAGGGATTCTAAAAACCCAGGTCACGTTCCCCATATGCTTGTACACGGTAGAGCAGTTTCCACGCTGCGATCTGTTGAGACTCAGCCCTTAGCTTGGGGATTCGTCTTGTCGGAGAGACGAGACCCCTATATATATATATTTATTTATGGTGTACGTACCGGTAGTATCAATAGTACCGATAGTACCAATAGATACATTACGATAAAATTTCTATCGGCCGTTATCGCTGTTTGTCGCGATAGCGGCTTTTTTTATGAAAAAATTATCGAATACGATTTTCGACTTTCTTTCCAATTTGTCGAAATACCCCGATGTATATACGGACATCGGAATTATTAGCCGTTATCGTTCGACAGAACGATAGCGGCTTTTTTTATGAAAAATTTTTGGAATAGTATTTTCGACTTTCTTTCGAATTCGTAGGAATACGTACATATATACCAACACCGGAATTATAAGCCGTTATCGTTCGATAGAACGATAGCGGCTTATTTTATGAAAAAATTGTCCCTGACGACGTATATATATATATATATAACTAACAAAATTCTAAATATAGTCGGGTCTGCAGTCAAAGCCAAATTTATTATTTTCTGTAAATTTTATACTTACTTCGTTAAAATCAATATCATGTTTACAACTATTTGTATGGTTTGACAACATACAAGAATTCTTATTAAGTCTAATGTCACTTTTATGAGAATCAATCCTATCTTTAAGCCTCCTACCAGTTTGCCCAATATAAACTTTTTGACAATCTTTACATGGAATACTATACACAACATTAGACTTATGTAATAAAGGAACCTCATCTTTAAGACTAGAAAAAATATTTTTAATAATTAACTTATTCGTAAAAGCCAGTCGAATGTCATTCATATAGATTCTATATAGGGTAATGAAAAATATGAAAAATTTATACGATGGTATACAAAACCTGGGGCATCAGGATTCGTGGTATACAAAACCTGGGGCATCAGGACGATATTTTGCATCGTACCATCCCATGAAACAGAAAATTAATTTATTGTTAGGGATGAAAAACAGGGTCTTACGCACGTCACATCGTTCAAAAACGATGGAAAACCTGAGAAAACTTGCTCAGTTGTTCCTTAAATGTGGTTACCCAAGTAGGCTTGTTAACAAAATTCTTTTTAATAGAAATAATGATTTACAAGTTCTTTCTCCTTCACATTCTGTTCTTGATGATGGGT